TGTCTTGATGTAGTAAACGCCACTTTTGGCTGACCTTCACAAAAACATCATAGCAGTAACTTAGGAACCAAGCGATAACAATTGTATTAACGTTATTGTCATAAATTCACTTACTTTCGATCATTCTTGATAGCTTTGCATGATGAAGCAGGTTTCCCCTTCGAACCAAGACCCCCATGGCCGCGGTGACAGTTTCKTACGACGTAGCATCCTTTGATTATCACATCTCCTTTCAACGACACCCAGTGCTGCACGTGTTTGTAGTAGTTAGCAAACAGATCTCTCCTAGAATTGGATAATAATGCAAAATTGTGTGYTATGGAAAAGTCGATCGATTTTCCTTATCATGGATCTCTTATAAAACTATGATTATCTCAAATAGCAAAAACGTCATGCACTGAGTCAATTGATTTTTACTTGCTGACTGGATTTCTAAGTCTTGTCGAGCATGCTCGAACTTCGTGGCAACCTTCAACTTGAAGCATCACTTGACCAACGATCAGCACTCTACAATCAATGCGATATATTTTTGTTAACTATATTAGAAAAATAGAAATCTGCGTACAGGTTGTTGCTGGGGTAAACWTTTGATGTATGCGGAAAATATAGATTCAAGAAAACACGTCAATCATTATGATCTCCCTGCTACTTGTAGCCATCATTCATTTTCCTGGCTGTAAGATGTTAACTAATTTTTACTAAATGAATTATATAGGTAATTTTCATTTTAAATCTTGAGTGTTCGTCTAAATCGCGCTCTGATAAGCGCTCGATCGTGCTCGATCCAGCAAACGTAAGCTTCAGGGAATTCAATCATAGTTTTCTAAATCAGAAATATAATCGGAATGAACGTATGGTTTTTGTTCTCCAGCATGTTGTGAGTTTCACGGATGATAATCACTTGCATTTTTAAAGTAGATCCTGAGATACTCACTCCCGGCTAGTTTAATTTTCAATCATTCGTCAAATGAACCTAAAAAACTCACCTTGTGGTAGCATATGTCTGCATAAAGAGAAAACACGGCACAACGAGAAGAAGCAAAATCTTAGCCACCATACTTGATCAAGTACGATATTACTGTTTGATCTGTGAAGTTAACAAAACAACGACTGTTTTACGAGATGAATAAAGAAGGCTTGAAGAAAAAAAGGAGGAGAGAGAATTTAGAAAATTATAGATTATAGGAGAAACGATGATAAACGGTAAAAAGTAAATTATAAAAGCTAAACTTTTAACCATAACCTCTTCCTAATGGTCTATCCCGTACGTTTGCCTTAACCCAAAAAGTCACACTCTAGTAAACACGTTAAATTTTCATCGTTCATGAACTGATGGGACARCAGTGATTCATCCTTAGTATCCCCTGTCTGAGAATTATTACTGGAGTATCAATTCTTACCTTAATTTTCGTTCAATTCAGAAGATAGGGAAGTGCAACAGTGGCGAACTAGGGWCTGCAGGTCTTGTTTTTATACCTTCTGCTATAGTTTTATCGTATCAAGGAAGTTCACTTCACATATTAGCCATTCAGTCTATGATTGTGTTGATGCAATAATTGTTGAAAACTTGTTGTCCAATTAGATTCTCAAACGTATCACATATATGACATCAGTGTTCAGGGAGTGGATTAAATCAGGCACATAAATTGCTTTTTAATTAAAGTGGGACTATGTTTTTTCTTTTAGCAGGTTGGTTTTAAGGATAAGAATAAAGAATTATTAATCTTCAATGATTATTCTTATAAATTCGTCCACTTTTCCTACTTCCTTTGTTCACCGACGTAGATTAATTTCAGCGTGTTMTAGAGTTCTTGTTTGCATTGCAACTAGAGCTTATGTGATATCATGATCGTGACAGTAGCTGACAAAATTAATTGTCCAATTAAAATCTCAAACGTATCTTCATTCAGGGAGTGGAGATAAGGTCCAGAAATTGCTGTTTAGTGGAACTATCTTTTTAGTTTGCAAGCACGTTTATTAGCAAAAGAGTAAAGTATTATCAATCATTAAYGATTATTCCGCATCCACTTTATTCCCAACTTCATTTAGTCCGCGTTAACATACGTAGGTTTCAGAGATATTTTGCTGTTCCTTTGCAGCTTATGTTTACATTGCAACTAGATGGTGAGCTCTGAAGTCTGTCACGCAATGACGCAGTTATTTGCTGTCGCACTGTCGCAGCCTGAGTTATCCTATTGCGTTTCGGGAAACCAAAAAGAATTACAAATGAATTAAATGATTCAGTCGACAGTCGATACGCATTCTTCCCTGCACATAGAGTACATTATCTAGTATCAAATCTAGTAGCCATAACATCGCTCCATATTTTTCCACGACTCAAACCAATATTTCTGGATTAACAATAAATAATAACAATTTATCAAAATCGAAAACACGATACTTAGTCATAGGCGAACACAAACGGGGGAGGGTATGAATACGAATTTGAGCTGCTGACCAATGATGAAATTTTCCAATGCTCTTTATTTTCTTGTGCAATTAATTTCAATTAAATCTAATTCAAAAAGAAAGCTTACTTTCTCTTTTCAACATTTAAGCTACAACAGTTTCAGTTTTGAATCCGTTTCGAGTATTTTTAATTATTAACGTGGAAATCTCTCAACAATGTTTTTTTTTTCAAATTCATTTTTGTCAAGCTCTTAAAAGCGATTAATTTTCGGAATAAATCTGGTCAAATTAAAACATCGTGTTTAGTCATGATTTCTACAAAATTACTTTAATATTAAACCTTGTATGAGTGCAGCTGTGACGTTATGTGAATATGTGGCAAAAAAGAGGGCTTCATCAGTTCAGGAAAAAATATAAAAAGTGTGGTCGAAAAATTCCAAAATTCTAACAGCTTGACAAAATTAAAATCAAGTAAACAAAGTTGAAATGGTACTCATATGTGCCGTATGCATTTGCAAGAGGAATTACATACTACTACATTTTACTACATTTTTTCTTATACAATATTTTTTATAATTTTGTGGTATCTGAGGTCAGTATCTGTGCCATGAGTTTCAATTATAGTAATGTGGGACTACTGAGCCAAGATATAACCATAAGCTGGAATGTTCTTGGCTGTGTTCGGACAGTTGCCGGTGGATATTTTACCAGCACGGCAATTAGGCTGATGATTATCCCCACCAAATCCAATTCGCGAATCGCTTGTCCTACAATCATTTTCGTTATTTGCAATAATCCCTAGTCTATCTCTTGCAAAAGTGCCCGGTTTATAGTCAGAGATAACATTGAATCCTTCTTTGTTACAGTTTTTCTGCAATGATGAGCCCGCGATCAGTGACTTCCATTTATTCCGCCCGATGGAGACTTTACGGTATTTGCCGTCTGCGATCACAGAGTACAACGAACTTGCCCTATCATTCAAATTACTTTTGTTACTGAATTTGGTAATATTTACAGCTAAGAATAGTAAAGAGTACATGGGCTCAGGGATCAGATCTACTTGCGGGATCATGGATCACAATGATATTTTTTGTGCTTTGGAATCAGAGTTTTAGTTTTAGAATCGGGATCAGTGCCTCATATGGAAAAGATAAAGGATCGCAATTGCTGTATCAAAGATCAGATCATTGCCCTGGGATCGGGAAACATCCATTCAATACTCACTTGTAGTCCAATCGAATCCATCTCGGGTTCTTCTGGCCAGCGGTCTTCATTCCAAGACATAGACTTKTAAAAGGCAGGGTCCAGTAGGTGGGGAGTTTGGTTTCTTTATCATCGACGCCTGATTGGCCATTGGTCAGTTTATNAAACCTTGTATGAGTGCAGCTGTGGCGTTATGTGAATATGTGGCAAAAAAGAGGACTTCATCAGTTCAGGAAAAATATAAAAAGTGTGGTCGAAAAATTCCAAAATTCTAACAGCTTGACAATTAAAAATTAAAATCAAGTAAACAAAGTTGAAATGGCACTCATATGTGCCGTATGTATTTGCAAGAGGAATTACATAGCTAAGATATAACCATGAGCTGGAGTAGTCTTGTCCCCGTTGTCACCTCCAACGCGTGCGCAGTTACCGGTAGATAGTCTACCACGACCGCATTGTATGCCATCCCCCCCGAATCCGATACGCGAATCGTTGTTGTAACACGCGTTTTCATTATTCGATGATATTCCAATTCTAACTCTTTCGTGGTTGACTTCGCCAGGAACAACATTGAAGCCTTCTTTGTTGCAGTTCCTCTGCAATGACGAGCCCGCGATCAGTGACTTCCACACATTGCGACCAATGGATACTTTGCGGTATTTACCGTCTGCGATCACAGAGTACAGCGAACTTGCCCTGAAATTCGTTAAAATTACACATGTCATTGACTGCATCATCCCAATTTTGATAGTCATGATTCACATCTTATGCCGTGAATTTAATTATTTAGCTGAGTCAGCGATCTGCATTCAATACTCACTTGTAGTTCAATCGAATCCATCTCGGGTTCTTCTGGCCAGCGATCTTCATTCCAAGACAAAGACGACGAAACGGTAGGGTCCAGTAGGTAGGGAGTTTGGTTTCTTTATCATCGGCGCCTGATTGGCCATTGGTCACGCGATATGGAATTTTGTTCGCCCAAAAAGCAGATTTGTACAAAAAGGTTTTCTTTGTGAAAGAATTAAAACGTGTTTATAAGACTTTTTATTGGAACAAAAGGCAGATGAATAGAGGAACGTTTTCTGACGATAATTTGAAAAAATGAATTCTGATCATTACTTGCCAGATATAATAAATGAGATTTTAATAAATTGTGCCTTACAAACGTAACAAAAAATATTTCATTATAAAAATCATTTCTACTGTTTTACCTTCTTTCCGTTAGTCTTAATAATGGTTGTCCATCCACCATCACCACACCCTGGGATATCCTCCATGTAGCAGTAGACTTTAGTGACCGTTGGTTTAGTCTTTATGTAGTAGACGCCACTTTTGGCTGACCTAGTTCAACAAAATAAACAAGGCTGACTTGTAAGAGTAGCAGAGATGTGAATTTAACAAACTGCGCACGTTCTTTAGTCGTATGCTCTCTCATTTGACACACTCTTGACGACCGCGACCACGCGAAATTTTGAAAATTTTACAACGTCATAAGTGGGTCAATAAGAGGACATACATTGAAAACCCGTGCGCAATTTGTTTTTTACCACATTATCACAAGATCATTATTTTCTTCCAACTGAGATTGCGCGAGACGTGATGGTGTCACCTCTGGGTGATTTGAGAAAATGCGCCTAGCCAATCAGCGCAAAGCTGACAAGCTTATGTTGTAAACATAACCCCACGACGGGAGGAATTTGCACAGCAAAATTCGACCCAGTGGAGTAGGCTGCCTGTCATTTTATTCCATCCGAATAATCAAAGCTAAAACGCAAAGAGAAATTGAAATCTTTATAAAATAGCTTTTAAATGTCAATCAAATATTTATTGTTATAGAAACAGAATTTTATCTTAAAAATGAAATAACGAATAATTTTTTCTTTAATGCCAAGAGACTCCCCTCCCTGATAAAAATAATTAGTCTGTGTTCTACGCGGGTTCTCCATTGCATGCGAAGTAATGGCCGACTTCACGAAGACTTCAGAAGGTCGTTGAAGCGACGTTCAAGTCCAAAGTATCTTAGGAGGAACCATTGCAAATCCTTTTTCTTAGCTCTTGTTTCCTCTAAGCTTTGAGGTATATACAACATCACTGGAAGAGCTAGAGCAGCTTAGCTCCACGTATTCCAATAGAGTTAAAGTGTTGTTATTTTTGGTACAAACAACTGTCGTAGTTCATCCTTTGTCGCATTTTCGGCAATAAGCCACCTGAAGCATGCTCGACGATACAACGGGTTGAGACGTTATGTAACAGGTCGGTTACACATTTACTAGCTTTGACCTTACAATGAGAGCTAGAAGGTGACTGGGATTTTTCGTGTAATGTCTTGATAGCGACTGTTTATGTCGAAACGACTCAAAACAAAATTCCATCGTGAAAAAAGTTCGACTAAATTCCCATCTGAAAAACACGCGTGTATTTAAGGTGGAATATGTTTCATATGAGCATTCAATTCTTAAAGGTTTAATTCTATAATCATTTTGTTTAGTTATGTAAATAAATTTAACACGACTTGTACTGTTTATCTGAGTGAAAGGAGAGCTGCGGGTTTTCCCTTTCCTTTATTTACATTTTCAAATATGACCGCTTAACAAAAATGCACGGGCTCACTGGCTTACGACCTTGGCGAATTCATAGGCAGGCCTGGTCGCAATCAATCACCCAGCTAAGATCAGCCAATCAAGTGTGGTAAAAAAACTACATATTTAGGGTCAGTGTTGTATATATACTTACTTGAGTTGGCTCTTGATGGCTTTGCAAGATGAAGCTGGTTTCTGTTTTGAGCCAGGCGGGTGAGTGTCCTTGCAATTTTTGACCGAGTAACATCCTTTTAAAATCACATCTCCTTTCAAAGACACCCAGTGGTTTTGTCTGATATAGTCAGTGAAGATATTTCTCGTGAAATGGAATCAAAAAATCAAAACTATAATTAAAAAAAACGTTTTTTGCTATGTTTTTTCTGATACATCATGAACGTCCATGCACTTCTAAAGTGCGTTGTTCATCGCGATCTTCTCGTTATAGTTTGTCACTTGGCATAAACTAAAAACCTGAAATTGGATGATATTGTAGATGTTCTCTTACTTTGAGGGACACCGGATTTCTTGGCCTTGATGGGCACGCCTTAACTTGGTGGCAGCCTTCCAGCCTTACTTGACCAACGATTACGACTCTAAAGGCAATCGGTACATTCACTTTATATTTGATGCCTCATTGCCAAAAGAAAGAACTTAAGCTAACAAACTGATACAGCCAACCCAGTACTCACCTGGAGTTTCCGTATGTCTGCACAAAGAGTAAACATGGTAGAGCTATAAGTAACAATAGCTTTGCATCCATACTGAACCCAATATGTGATCAGTTCTAACCCGTGTAAATTCACAAACTAAAGTAATAATAAAATAGAGTAAAAGAATTGAAAGTCGAAGAGTCGATGGCGAACAACAAGAGAACAAGAAAGATAAACTTTAAGAACAAAAGAGCAAGAGGAATAAAACGTGCAATCTTACCTTTATGTTTGTTCAATTCAGAATGTCCTGAATTCTAGAATGGATTAATTTACTGAGTTGTGATGTAGTTTTATACCCTCTCTATAGCTATATTTATCACCCATTTCCTGTACGTCATAAAAATCCATGATGAAATATCGAAGGCTGGCTGTGCTTGTCTTCGAAATGCAATTAATATATGAAGGAAACGTTTATTCAACGTTAGGCGCCAAGATAATTTTTCTACTGAGACAGTCAATGAGAGTTGTCCCGCCGTAAGATTTGTAACATCTCATGGTGTAATAATAGTAGAAATTGCCTGAGATATGAAAGGTAAAGAAAGATGATATAGAATAAAAGAGGGAGGAGAATAAAGGAAAAAGTATACTAATTGTCACCTAAGGCGACTCAGCGATGTCTCAGCGATAGATAAAATGCGGACATAGTTTCGGGCTACTGATTTGTTCACTCATTCTGCAAAAGGACCGAGTTACTAAAAATATATGTGGCTCAAAATTCCGCATTTCTTTGAAAGTATTTTGAATCTTAACAACACTTATAGTTTCAATAAAACATGCTTTGAACTTTGCGATAGTTTTGACTAAATTAGCAAAACCAAATCTTGCACTTAAGCGATTCGTTGATGTCTAGGCAGGATTTCGTAAAATGTTCCGTACGCTCAGAATTATATGGTATTCTGGACGCAAAAGTCTTCATGTATTTCTGCGTAATATAAAAGTTGGTGAATCTGCGGTGCTCTACTTCTGGAATGCTCACCGATTTACACACGCAACGACTTGCTAAATCTTGTGAAAGGAAGGCCAAAACTCCTAAAAAATTATATTTTTTGATATTGTCAAATAGAATTAAATGGACAGGGCCAACTTAAAGTCTGTTTTCAAAAATGATCATTCTTAAAACATCTCTGTTTTCGGCTCTCTCTGATGTGCCGTTTGGATACCCAACCGGCAAGAATTTGCTTGATAATCTGTTGTTGATCATTCCACATTTCTCTTCTTATCGAGATTGAACTCATCAATATTTCATTTTGTAAATGGTCTTTCTATCACATTCTATGTTTGTGTGTTTTCTTTTTTGTTTTTGTTTTTGAATGTCTTTAATCATTCAAAAGGTAAACAGGAACTTGGAGCCACCGATGCGAGTATCATTGACTCAACCCGGAAAATGTTTGGCTTCGCTTTGTATTCACACGCCGAATCTTGTGAAAATAAAAGTATATTGTAAAGAATTTTCTGCGTTTTTGTGATGAACTGTAAGCAGTAAGGTTTCTTTATATTCGTGAAATTTCTCCTGTTGAAAGAAATTACATATGGTTTCCTTTGCAACCTATTTTGACGAAAACGGTGGTTCGGCCGTGAGAGAGACTAAACTACTACACTGATCGAACTGATTTGAATTCGGTCCCAGTTCGGGGGGATTCGATCGTCTGAATATTTAGTAATAAGTTTGTTAGCTATCTATTTCTCGGGTTTATTATTGCACTCTATCTAACAGTCCCAAACTGACTAGAAAACTCGATCATGGTCGCGATAAACAAAAGGGTCAGAACTGAAAAGAAACAGAAAGTCATTTATCTCGCAAACCAGAAAACTTATAGCTTCGGTTTGCCGTTACTTAAAATTATAGATTCGGAAAATAAAAGTATATTAATTAGATCATATATAATAGGATTTACTGGGTCATACAAACATAAAAAAATAGTGTTAAGAGGCCCCTTAATCAGGCCCCGTCCACACTATAAAGCGTTTTCGTTTGTATCCGTTTTTCAATAAGTGTGAAAACGTATAAGAGTTGTTCCGCACAAGAGTGTAAAATATGTTAAATGAGACGATTGTACGAACGGCATGCAAATTAGGGTTGGTGTTAATACCTTCATTGTTTAGAGGGACTATTATACCGATTGCTAAAAATATCAATAGACAATTTTCAAACATTCAACTATAAAGGTTTTACTAATGTTATAGATTTTTCAACAATTT